ATTACTATTGCTATTATTATTGTTATTATCATTACTACTGTTAATTTATTTAACACTTGATTTTTTTTCGATTTTTTCGATTAAATTTACAATTGATTATAATTATAAAATTTTGTCGATCACTTTTTAATCGATTGTGGAAAAATCGATTTTTGTATAATCGATTAACATCCCTACTGAGTAAAGAGTTCAAAACTTGTTTCAGTTTAAATAAAGTTTAAATAAGTAATCTTTTTTTAACTAATAAAGACATTACTGACTAATGAATGCTATATTCTTATTTTAGCTTATTGTATATTATGAGCTTTAATTATAAGGAGCTAAACCTGATAGGTAATAGCATTGAAAATACATATTAACAAAATCAATGAACAAATGGAAAATTTAAACCCATTAATTGTTAAATTGCATTTGCCAATCAATCAATTAATCATCATAAATGCAACAAAAATACATCTTCTTAAGTAAAAGCCACTTAATTAACCATATTTATAGATGTTGAGTTACTGAATTATTGGAAAAGTATTCATTTACAAGTGCAACAATCATTAAGCAACCTTTTCAGACTATAGCTGTTTTCTGTAATATTATGGATACAAAATGAATTTCTAAAATCTAATTAAAAATAAGTGATGATAAAAATTAGATAATGATAAGAATTCCATAATAAAATTCATTCAATTACCAACATCTTCTTCACCGTCTCTAATACTAAGCATTTGATTTAGTAACAATCAAGAAATTTCATAACCACGTGGTATATCAGTTTCAGTTTGTGAATTTGATTCTTCTATTATATATATAATTAAAATAATTTTATAGTTTGCATTTTATTATTTTATTTGAATTTAACATTAGCATTAAAAGAACCAACATAGCATTATGTACCTCATAAAAAAAATTAATAATATCTTTGTTTGTGTTTTGGAGATGGATTAATAACATCATGATCTTCCACAGGTGTAAGTAAAAGAAACCTTGTTGGATCAATGGATTCACTTATTGATTGATTTAATTCTTTTATGACAGGTTGTATACTGGAGATGGCTCTTTCAAAAATTACCATACCAATTAAAAAATCTCTTACTTCTTTTTCTGAAGTATGCTTTGTAAGTGGCAATGGAAGTGAAAATAAATCAATAAAAACTCCAAAGTTATTATTAGATTTATCATAGTAGTATAAATCCAAATTAGTTCCTATTTATGTCAGTGTATTCATGGATTGCAAAAATTAAAAAATTGACCAAATATCTTAGATTATTATTTATATAAAATAGCAAAGTTAACATACCATGAGTTAGCGTGCAGATTCGTGGTAGTTTTTTAACCTTGTTCAATGTATTTTCATTAATTATATTGCCATGCATTAGTTTGATTTTATCTAAGGTACCCCTGATATTTCGAGAACAATATCTAATCAATTTTCTTCTATTATACTCTGTTCGCAACTTGCTTGGTTGGAAAGGAGGACCTGCTGCTTCACCATATAGCAATTCGAGAGAATCTTTACCAAATTTATATTTAACCATCCAATCTGGAATTCTTGAGGAGTTGTTGTAATTTTTTTTCATTTCTTCTGAGGAAATTCCCATTAATTTAAAGACTAGTGCCGTAAATTATGATTATGGTGGTAATTGTATTTACGGCATATAAAAAGTGGTCGCGACCACTTTTACAACCATACTTTTTCCTTTTCTTGGATTACGGCACTAGTCTTTAATGTCATTGTTAAAATTTCCTTCTTCTGCAACTATTATTGAAAAACAATATCAATAAAAATAATTATCTTTTAAATATTAATACAACACATATGTAAATTACCAAAATATTCCAGAGGCTTTTTTTTCCATTTCAATGATTTTACACATCAATGGATGTACAAATTCATGTATAAAGGTGTCCTCATTGATGTCTTCATTTCCAAATTGTTTATTCTCAAATATCTCATCAAGCTATAATTGATTACTGTATGTTTTTAATAATAAGTGTTATTAAAGTCTATTAAAAGATTAGGGGGTAATCAAAGTTGTTTCTGATTTACATTGTCTAAGAAGCCTTGTAAAATAAGGAACAGAAACATAACAACTTTTGGTGTCCCTTATTAAAAAAAAATTTAAAACTACTAACAGTATCTTAAATATGCCAACTACTAAATCATAATCCTCTCTATTTGAAATATTTAAAGGGATAGCTGTTTGTTGATTTTTGACATACTGACTAACCCATTTTGAAAATCTAGTTCCATTCTTTCACCTGTTCATTTCCTGAATGTCTTTTAATAATCTTTTCAATAAGGCTGATGGATTACTGAAATCTATACAATATGCCATCAATGGATCATTAAAGGAAATGTTCAGGTAATTAACATTAATCATATATTTTGCTATTTTTTTAATAGTGCTATTTTCATTTTCAATCTATTGTATGTTAACAAATATAATATAAGCATATTTTATAATAAATTGATAAAAAAAATTTCTATTACTATTATATTCAAAGAAAACTTACTGAAATATTATTATATCTTTCTTTTATTTTAATATGTAAGTCTTCAATTTCTTCGGTCTTTTTTCTTTTTTTACCTTTAATTGAAGGTGTGTCTAAAGGTTCAGGAAGGTTTCGCTATCTAATATTCATGTTTAAATATATTCAAGTTTAAATTAAAAAGTGTTATCATCAATAATGAAGTACTGGTGCCGCTCAAGTATCTTTACCACGTATATTTAAGACTGTTTTCTTTTTTGATCGTCTAGAAGACAAAAATTTTTAATAATAAACTAGAATAACGACGAGTGGTGGCAATAACCACCACCACCATCCTTAAATCACTTATCCACGTTCAGCTCCCAGTTCATTCGTTTTACTTCTTTTATTGGTGTTTTTTAATCTGTTTGATGACATTTTTAAAATAAAATAAAAAAAAAGAAGTTTGTGATTTGATCGACAAACGCATCATTAATTATTTATCCTATTGGTTTTTTTTTTGGGAGGACAGACGCGAATTGATTGATTTTTTGACAGAGTCCAAGATGACAGACAAAACGTGTGTGTTGTTTGTTTGGTTTGGTTTGGGTCTCCTAAAGCAACGTGTTAATAACTAACCAGAGGCACTTTTTTTTATTTGTATTGATATGTATGAGGTGTCTTTTGTTTTAGCTTATAAATATTTTAATTGGAATCAAAACACGGAGCAGATCTTGCTGAATAATTACAAGATTTTCATTGATAATATTTTGCTTTGCGTAATTGTGATAATAATACTAATATTATATTATTATAATTACAAGATGTCAAGGCAGCATTGACTGTTGCAAAAGAAACAGTTTGATATGCAACGTTTTATTATCGGAAATTGGCAAGTGTTGAAGCACGCACGCTACCTTGAACACATTACAGCCATTCTCTCACATTCCTCGTGTTCACAAGGCTAATCTGACCAGCTCCGTCCTATGGATATAATGATGCAACTGAATTACAGGGAGTTGGCGCATGGCCCTGGAGTTTACCGAGACTGCATCGATCGTCAAGAATGTTTTCACTAATCTTCCCTCAAAACACCCAGACCAGAGAAGGCTGCCATGTTAGCTGAAAAGTTGCCTGCAACGATCCCACCTCTAGGGTAAGGATGGCTCTGTGACCAAGCTGTTGCAACTCTGGAGGAATATTAAGAGAATCTGCAGCTCGTTCAAGCATAGGAGGTCACAATCCAGAACAGGGTTGGTGGCCCTGAAATTGCATTTGGACTCTGAGGAAAGTTGTAAAATAGTGTTTGTTTTGTATAATCATTTACATAAATGCTCTGTTTCTCTGATACTAACCAATTATTGTAATTAAGTTATTGGTTAAATATTTTTAAAGCTCTTGCTAAAATAATATCATAATCTTAAGTAGCAGTTAGGTTTCTATTCAAATAAGGTTTACTTGAATAAAACGAATAAAACGAATAAAACGAATAAAACGAATAATAATTCAAATAAAAGCATATAAAGCATATAAAGCGAAACTTGTATTATGAATAGAAACTGTGCATTAATATAAAATCAAAAAACAACAATAATAAACAAACAAACAAATAGTTTTTATCACGAAATAATTAATTTTGTTCCTTTGGTGTTAATGATTGAATTGATCACACAAGCAGTAGTCAATTTAAACAGCGTTATTTTTAAAGAATTTATTTAAAATATTTATTTAAATGTATAAAGTTTAATTATTTTTAATGTTGCAAAAATTTTTTGATACATCAATCTCAGTCCATATTTATATACCTTAAAGTTTCTTTTTTTCTTTTTTTGATAAATAATAAATTTATCCATTTATTTGTGGAAATTTGAAATGTTACATTAATTTTTTAAATTGTGCGACGTAACTTTACGATACACAGCAAACATTCTGGAAATAAAAAGTAAGTTATAAACTGAATTTGAATTGGATCTCCAATTTAAAGAGGTAACAACTATACTGGTGAAGTTTCAGGAGCAATGAGTTCTGTATAACATTTCGTATTCCACTATGCTTATTGGCTTGAAGATTGTCACGCAATTTGAAGAAATACTATGGTTGGCTCGGTCTAAAGACCTCCTATCGCTGCGCCACGCGCTCAAATTTCAAAAAATTGCGATTTCGCGTTCATTCAAAAAGGGTTTCACGTGATTTTGGTTACAAAAATTATTTTCCTTGCTGCCAAATTTAGATATGATGATCGAGTATTAGTCTAAATTTAGCAATGATCCTAGAGCTCAAATTTCTCACGAGTACATGTTTTAAAAAAGAATAGAACTCTACAACAAAGAAATTTTGAGAAAATCTCTTTATTTTACATTAAAACTAAATACATATTCTAACAACTAATAGAGCTATTTTTTTAAAAGATAGGACAGAAAATGATTTCTATACTTTTAAAATTTGCCAAAATTTAGGAGGTCTTTAGACCGAGCCAACTATATATTTATTTTTTATCATTTTATAAATAAATAAATTGGTGGCATGAATATAAATACCAATATAACATTTCACGTTTTAGTAACTACAAGGGAAAAAAGAAGACATAATAAATCATCTATATGCAAAAAGATATAATTTAACAATTTACTAATTTTAACATGCATCATTAATGATAATAGGAAAAGGAAAGCAAAAGGCCAGGCACATTTCTTCTAGTCAAAGACTTATTCCCAAACTTGTTTTACTAGCAGGAAGCTGAATGGATTCTAAAAGAAGATTGAATGACAGGTTAATTGACCAAACAATTTTTAAATTTTGATGATCCCGAATTTCTTTGTGATATAATGTCCACTCTGCCTGGTATTGTTGCATTGATTTAAATGTAAATTTATAGTTTTTTAAATTTTTACATAAAACAAAATATATATATTTTACAAAAGAAAAAAAAATTTAAATCAATTACAAAAAAAAATTTTTTCAACAATATATAAATATTTGTAAATACCCCCCCAAAAAAACTCTAAATATGTATCTAAAAAAAAGATTATTAAATAGTTGTAATTATTATAGTCCAACTTTAAAAGAGTCTCTAATGTCTTTGGGCAATCCTGATATGATAATATTTGCTTGTAATTTTAATTTCTCACATTGTTGTGCCGTAGGTATTGAAGGTGACACACCATTTCTATCTCTTATAACTGATGAAGGAATAACCACTACTGATGATGTCTGTGAATAATTTTGTTTAGATAATTTCTAATAAAGTTATTTTTTTAAAAAAAATGGTTAATTAATATTAATACATTCATATTCATGTATTATTTTTTACTGAAATCAAAGCTCTCACAACTAACCAATTCATCTTTTACTCGAACCAGTAAATCGACCAATTCCATTTCATGTTTTCCAATCATCCATTTCCTGACATCATCTTCACATAATACTTGTAAGTATCGTTTCCTTAACTCATTCTGTGCCTCAATTGTTCTTAATCTTAGCCATGTTGCAAAATTTCCAGATTTTAGGAACTGTGTATAAAAATTAATATATATATCTGATGATGCAAAATTTTTGGTTTTGAAAGGGATTTGTGGACCTAAAAGCATGATGGATTGAAATCGGTGTTAAACATATGTGTACGAGTGTGTATATTTTATAAAATCTAGATGTATATATATAATATATATATATTGCTTACCGTGTTCTTGTAAAGATTTTAAAAATTTATCGGTTTTAAAAGGTTTTAATTGTGGAGTCTCTTGTGAAGATGAGAGAGTTCTAAAAATACGAAAGGTTTAAATTAAGTAATTTAAATAAAACGGAATAATTTAAATATTAAAACAATATCATTATAAGTATATTAAAAATGATTAAAATACATACATATGAAATGGAATCAAAGTGGAAAAATATCGATTTAACGGTACCAAAAATTTTTCCGTAAGTTCAACAAAATATCTTCTCAAAATATTGTTTAATAAATAATCTACATAAATAATAAATATATATAAGTATGTCGGATATTCTCAAATATGCTTGCTTTATACTTGTAAATAATTACCAGATGGATAGCCACGAGTAATTGCTTCTGCAAATAATTTTAATACTGCTTTGTCTTTTGCAATAACTGATTTCCTTTTGCATCTTACTCCCTATTTTATTAATATATATATATTCTTAATAAAAAAAAATCAATTCGAGTAATAATTTAAATAATAATTTTGGACAAACCTGAATAAAATCTAATGAGGAGACATTGAATCCTCGCCACGAAGAACCATTAGTTTTTCTAATATACACAGTATACACATATATATGTGAATATTATATAAAAATATATAGTTGTATGAATTATTGAATGATTTATGAATGTAAATTACAAACCTTGATTTTGGTCTTCCAACTTTAATAATATTAGGCCAATGTTGTAATGCTTTTGTGAAATAAGGATTTGTCACACCAATAATTATATTTGAAGGTGGCTAAAGAAGAACATTGAATTTATTATTGTTAATACTATTTATTAGGTTTAGACGTCATATAAAGTGATATTATTAATGTTATTAGGTGTACCTGAGTTTTAGTTACAAAAGATTTAAAATCCGTATCTTGAATTGTGAAATAAGGTCGATAATCTCCACAATATGGTATCTATTAAAATTTATAATAAATTTAATCGATTAAATCTAATCAAGTTATTGAAACTAAATTGGTTTGATCACTCATTAATTAATACCGGATTGATTAAATCTACTAATTCGAGTACAGCCTCACTGCATATTTTTGGATCAGGTGCCATTAAGACAATAGGCTCGGCAAACAACATCAATTCCCAACATATCCACAAATCTTTTAGCATATCACGAAAATGAGCAAATGTTGGAGTAGGTGGCAAGGATGCAAGTATTTGAGTGTCAGGACGATAGTTTGACATATCAAACGGGCTTGTTTCAAGAAGTTGTGGACTATTCGGATAAGGTATTTCCACTTGTATTATGCTGCCTAGAAATGGCAATTCAAATGTTTTACCAGGTGATGGAGGCCTCCTTTGATAATGAATTTAAAATTTTTATAAAAAAAAAAATGTTAGAATTTTAATATTTTCAATATTTTTAATTGCAATACAAATGAATCAAATTAATTAAATAAAATAAATATTCACCAACCAACTTGTAATGTCATGACATGCTGCCTCTAACATTGGTTTCCCAACTTCAAAATATGCTGGCCCAAGGATTGATACAAGTTTTGAGAATAGTCCTACATATGGATACGGCGATAATAATACAACAGATTTCTAACAATATAATATTAATAATATCATTATTATGGGTATTGTGTCTATGATGCATTTTGAATATACATTATATATTATGAATATTTACCTGAAAGAAACCACGTCTTATACGTGAATCTCTCTTTTGTCTAAAAAACACATAACCGTACAAGAATCCAGCATCTGCTGTAGGACCTATTTATTATAACCATAGTCGTAATAATAATCATAAATAAAATATATGATTATTATAATATTCATAATATATTGATTCACCATTCCAATTTCATTACATCTCCATTTTCCAACTTTCTACAAACCTGAAGATACCAAGCCAGATTTTGAAGAACATCTTATTCTGAAATTGAAAACAGTTTCACCAACATCAAAAGAATTTGAATCGGGAAATGCCGAGAAACATATGTTTTTCATTTCATCATTTGTTAAATCTGATGATGGTGGATACATTACATCCATTGCCTGGCCTAATTCTAAATCAAAATTCACTATACAAAAACAAACCATCCAATTCCTGAAGTTGTCTAACGCTAACAATTCAATCATATCCCAACTATTTCTACGGTTAAGATCATTATTGGTAATAAGATTATTTTTATTATTGATGGTGGTGTTATTGTTGATACTATTAGCATGCATTGAAATATTATTATTCTGATTATTATATTTATTTTTATTTTTATTATTAATGACATGCTTGCTATTATTATTATGATTATTGTTTAATTGTTTTTTATCATGATAAATATATTCATTCTCGTTTTCTTTCTCATTTTCTTTCACAGTATAAATTGAATTGTTTTTTAAATTTTTAATTGACGTTGAAGTTGTGATAGTTGTTGGGGGAACATTTGTTGTGTCAAATATTTCTAAATTGAATATTTCACAGTCATTGAAAGGATTCCTAGCAAAGGTTGGAGCTAGTTGTACAACCAAAGGGTCTGGAAACACTTTATTCTGAGACAGTGATCTATTTCTTTTAAGCTTTCCGGTACCAGTAGACTCATTATTATTACTACTGCTGACATTGCCATTACTATTATTATTATTAATAATGTTGTTGTTATTGTTGCCATTAATTGTTTTTTTATTTTTATCTTTACTGATTTCATTAATTGGATCCATATTTAAAAGAGTTGAAGAAGAGGTTGAAGTAACAAGTCTCGAAGTGGAGCTGTTTCTACTTTTTATTGGATTCAACGGTGAATGAATTGCAGGTGAAGTTGATAGAATTGCTGTAATGGACTCAGGAGAGGAAGTGGAGGAAGTTGAACGATTTAAAAAATTACTATTCAGAATAGGGTTGCCGGTGATAGGAGACATTCTCGAAGGAGTTACTGGTGCAGATAAGTTTGAGTATTTCTTTGATGGAATTATAATAGGTAAGGTTAAAGAGGAAGAGGAAGAATATATTGATAAATCATCAACATCATCATCAACATCAACATTTCTATTATTATTATTATTATTATAATTACTATTGTAACTATGACTCCTCACAACAGGACGGCCACCACTATTATTGTTACTACTATTACCACTAATGGGTTTTTTATTCATTTGTTTTATTTTAGAAAAATATAAATTTAGGTATTTTATTTTAGGTTTTCGATTTTTTATTTTTTTATTTAGATTTTTCTTGTATATATGAATGATTTCATCTATAAAAAGAAAAGTCGAATGTAAAAATAAAAAAAAATCTTGCTTTTTGTTTGCACAGGTTTATTTATTTATCACAATTCTATTGTCATATTGTTTTTCTATTATTAAAAATTAAAATGGTGTGTATATATATTTATATAAGAGTTTGGTATAAATTAATTATTCCTAAAAATTTTTTTTTCAATGTACATATGTATATTATATAAATTTATATACAAGTGCTTTTTTTTTTTTGAATGTGAATTTTTGAAAAAATAAATTTACGCGAAAAATTCAAAATAAACAAATATCTTCCAATAGAACACTACGTTTATTATTAATAATTTAAATTTAAATTAATATTTAATTATCTGTTGTTATACTAAATAGATCTCTTACACTTATCTCATATATATTAATATCAGCTCACTCTCGTTTTCAAACGTTCCAACCAACATTGATTGATTCCATTTGTTTCCGTTCAAGTAGATCAATGAGAATATTTAAATAAGTAAATATACAATGTATCAAATTAATTAATTTAATTTAATTTACCATAACAAATTAATAATAATAGAAATTGTAATACACGATCTACACAATTATAATAATGAAGGTGAATTGTAAGTCGGACGAGAATTGAGATATGGGAATTTTGAATTCGGAAAAATGGATTTAATCAAATAATGGGAGACGATTAAAATTTAATTGATTTTACGTTTCACTTTTCTTTTATCTTTATAAAAATATATTATACACCTATTATTTGCTGTTCTAATGCACACAATTATCTTCAGTTATTTGGGTTTTGTAATACAAAAATCAATATTTACGTGAATAATATCATATGTCATCATCCATAATATGCTACCTGTCATCGATCCAATTCTTTAATCAAGACCTTTATACAAAACTCTTCATTTGATTCTGTAATGAATGACAATAATATCGGCAGATCACATCATGGCTTAAATAAGCAATATTACTAGGGCATGTTTCTAAGATCAAGCACTTTGGGCAAAACTTGTATGTGTAACCCATATAAGTTTTGGTATGACACTTTCTAATAAAAAAAAGCTTAACTTAGAGATTTCTTAAAAATTAAAATGATATCTTCTTCTTCACCACATTTTGAAAATTTTAACATGATGATTCCATTTTTGAAGCATCGGTAGTATGTCATCTAGAAATGACGCAATGATTTACTAATACTAATACTATTATTTAGAGACCAACGTATATATCAATATTTTATAAAATACAATCTTGATTTTTTACCCTCTTCCCTCCGAGAGATTTACTTGGTACGGACAAAGAAGAGATATGTGAAAGTTTGCAATGAACGAGAAAACATAGTCCAAATATTCTATGGAATTAATGGATTTTTTAAATTGTGTCGAGCTCGAAAAGCTTATTTATTAATTATTTTTATATTAAATGTTGCTATGAGCTTTTTTATTTATTTCCTCCTCCTTCCTTCACCTACTCAAGCTAATATATTAATTAAATATGATTTTTTTGAATATTCTAGCAATCAGCTTGCTATAATTTCAACTGGGGATTTCGAGATGTGGCTTTGTTTATAATAATAAATATTATTTTTAGTCATATTTGGTCCTAATAAGTCCAATCATTATGATGTGCCCAATTTCTAATATTTAATTAATACAAACTCTTCACGCTAAAATATTTTTGGCCTAGAAAATTATATGGTAGAGATTGGGAACCGTGCAATAGGTAATAGGTAATAATCTTCAGTTAACCGGATTCAAACCAGGTTTAATTTTACTGTGGTGGTTATAGCTTGAAAAAAGGATGTCATCTAAATATAACATTTTAAATTGAAACGCGCCAATCATTTCATAATAATATCTTACTATGGCGCATTAGGAAATTCTTCAGACACAATATCAAAAAATTGTAACGCTGGCTGGGCATGTAAGTTTTACACAAGTGTCAATTTAATTTCCAGATGATACTAATGAGCACTTAAATGAATGAGTATTTTAAAGAACAGAAGCCTGTGTCATTCAAGTTTGTCAACTACTTGTGCTACTCACTATGAAAAATACAGATCGCTATGAATCAAGACTCTTCGTTAAGAATTCTAACAACAGCAAAGAATTTCTCGATAGATTTGATATTAATATGCAAATTAACGACGAAGGCCTATTTGTTGTGTGATTAGCTGGAAAATTTAACCATTAAATCCGTTTTTTTGATAATAAATAAACAACCCGATTTGAAAGTGATGAAAAAGGCATTTAAACATAATGCTTGCAGGAGGACGTAGATATCATCATTTAGTCAAATAGCTTTCAGAAGAGCTATTTAGCAATTCGATTTCTTCTGTTGACAAAAGCATATTCCCGATTAAATCTATTACTATTACTAGTACCAATACTAGAATAAAGTCGAATTTCTGATGTAATTGATGTATAACGCTAAAAAAATTATCAGTGACATCCTCAAAAAAATTCTTTGCCAATTTTCACTATGCAAAGAAGCATTAAACGAAAAATTGAAAGCTAAACTGTAACTTTCAAATGACTATTCAAAAAAGAAGCTAGCCCAAGTATTGGTTATTATACGACAAGTCAAAGCGTTGCTTTTGTTGGCATTTTCCTCAAGATGTTCACAAAACTAGAAGGATTCATAAAGCAAAGACAATTGCAATAGGTGTATCAGAATGCGCTCTGCAAAGTTCGTTAAGAAATTTTTGAATGCATTGAAATTTTGGTTTACGTAAGATCATACTGTTATTATTTACAATGTTAATATGTCTAGAATCAGAAAATAATGAAACAAGCGCGGCAATCTATTAATGATGTGGAAGTGGGTTTACAAAAAGCTGTTTTTTATTTTTAGTTCATGCTCGGTTCGGTTTGGTTTCGAATCGATTTTTTTGTGAAACTGTTATCCATATTCTTATTGGTCAGATTTATAATGTGGCATATTTATTTAGTGATAATAAAAATGTAATCTCAAAAATGACACGTTGAAAAACTTCTATACTACTTTATTGATTATCCAGATATTCATCCAAAAACTTTAAAAGCTGTTGAAACTGCCGAGCCTATATCTCCCAACTCTGACCCTGGGGGTGAGTAGAAAGCTGTTCGACTAGATATGCATAAAAATGCTCTTGCAGTTTCTGGAATAGTGTAGGATGTTGAAGAGATTGTAAATGTTGAAGATTGTGAAAGGTCAACCTGTCCAAGCTTCATGAAAATTGATGACTGATATTCCTGTGGATGTTAATTTTATTCTTATAGGAGATGATATATTGGAAGATTCCTCCTGGTAAATCTCAAAAATGGTTTTAATATGTCTGCAAGCATTTTGACTTGTTTCTCCTGAGAAGTTATAGGGCTCAGTTCGTGAGTCTAAAATTGATAAAGTAATTAAGAATGATCCGTAATATCCCAATATTCTTCGATATTGATGCTGCTACTTCACATTATATCTAAGTTAATTTTTATTATAAAACTTTTTACAAAGTTATTACAAAGTTATTTACAAGTATGACAAATTCGAGCTTCTTATATACAATTAAATTAATTTGTAACAACTTCATTGCAATCTAGCATTCTAACCGCGATATCGCACTTTAATTGCGACGTAACATTCTAACCGCGACGCTAATTTCTAAATAAAGTTAACTAATTTCGACGTTATACGAATAAAAATAAAAACGTGATACGAATAAAATAGTAAAAATGTAATAAAGAAAATAAAATAAGAAATGAAATAAGAAATATAAGGAATAAATAAATATAGATATAAAAATAAACAAAAAATCAGCATTAAATCCTAATTCTGATAACACTGTTTGTTTTCTAGATGTGTTTGGATGCACTTAAAGATAAAACAAGTATCACCTATGGTTGAATAGGATGATACCAAAAGGTGTTTTGTGGCTCTTTCTAAAGGTTTGAGGAGAATATCCTATAGAGTATGAGAAACAGTATAACAAGGAAAAAAGTAATTGATGAATTTTCTAAAATAAGAGTTGTCAACAATGGTAAAGGGTTGGAGATCACAAATCAACCATTTGGTAAGGTATTTAGTATATTCATTACTTGTATCTGGCTCCTTAGTATCACTATTGTCTTTATTTTATTTACTCACTTCATTGTGATTTCCATACATCCTAGATATTTACTATATTGTCATTGCATCCATACATCCTAGATATTTACTATATTGTCATTGCATCCAAATCTACACTACCCTGACATAAGTTTGTGAACAATGTTTTTCGTCAATTACACAAAATTCTACATAATAGAAATACATAAAATTTTAAGATTAGAACACCTAAGTCCTTGTTCATTTCATATAAAATTTGGTGTTTTTTGTATTTCTAGTACTTTATTAATTAAAAAAAAAAACGAAATACTTTTTTTTGAAAAGATCTTCAAAAAGTCAATTGAAAAAAACCAATATCTATTGGGTTCCTAAACTGTTTTCGAAACTCCTATGTTATAGAAAATAAACATACAGAATGTATAAGAATTTCCCTATATTTGATACAGAATAAATTTTTAGATACGGAATGAATGTATTTAATCTACGTTTTGAAATTTATCAATGTAATGCAATTTATGGATGTATACAGAAAATGTACAGAAAATATACGGAAAATATACGGAATTAGGAAAATTATAATAATAATACTGAAAAAGTATGTTTTGATTCCACATATAAGGTATGGAATTTGTAACATACCTTTTGATTCTGTATATAATAATACATATAATTTCAGTTAATTTGATACGTTTTATGGAAAATTGCGAATTTCCGTATACTTTTACTTTCCGGAATAATTCCGTATCTTTTATAATAATAATAATTATTTTATCTCGATTTAATGGATTTAACGGATTCTCATATATATTCGATTTAGCGGATATTTT